GCGCACACACAGAGGCACACACGCACACTCAGGCACGCACCCCCCACACACACTTTTAAATAGCCCAGTGTAAACCAATACATTGGTCCTTAGCTTGTAAGTCTATCTTTTATCAGTCTGGTTAATTAATCAGTTCTTTATACACAGGTCATCTCCAGACGAAGAAAATGGATTCTAGGGCCCACAAAGCTGAGACTCTGAAGAACCCCATAAGGTGCAAGTTCAGTAGAAGCACTGACCAAAGACAAGTCCCGGGCTTCCCTTTTTGGTTTTCAGGAGTCTTATTTTTATATTTTTACCACAAATGCAGCCAACGTCTATCACATGCGTATCTCAGTACATGTTTGTGAACGTGTATGAATTTCTTGCAGGACAATGGAAATGCTGCATCAACACGAGGACCTGAAATTCTAGTGGCTATTTTCCAGTTTCGCTCGGAAAACCGGACCAATTACTCTTCCCCCCGTACAGAGAGTGCCCGCTTTCGTACGCCCTCACCAGCTCCAGTCTCTTTTGGAAGTGATTAGCTGTGATGTCCAATCTGCCAAAGCTAAACACCAAAGAAAGCCTGCTGTTCTCCAAGCAACTCCAACAACATGAGTCGACAAGAACCAGTCACTTCCTTTTTGTAAACTGTTCACCGAAGACCAAAATGAGAGGGACTGATCCCTTTTACTTACTATCTGTTGGGTTCTTCATCGGATATGACTGGGTATAATTGTTCACACAGTGTATTAACTGTGGACTAATAGAGGCACAGTAATTTTCCACGGCTTTGATCTGCGACGGGCCAGGAGATGAGTCTGTTCGGAAGATGGCTTGGCAGTACTCTCGGCAGTTTGTGTGATGACCTGCGTAACTGCAGCACACCGAGCCCACTACGGGGGGAAAAAGGATGACACTGAAATGGAAACAGCTCTTTGTCAGCATGAGACCATCACAGCAATGACGGAACAGTACACATCTTTCTGAATTCAAGAAATAAGACCAAGCCACAGAAAATAAGCTCTTCACATCAGCATTACTGTGGCCATGGCAATGGGGACATTCAGGACATTCAGATAATGACGTAAGAAGTCATTATCTGTCAACTTAAAGTCTGCTGGTTACCAACCAAGAGCAGGACTACCCTACTAGGAGAGTTGGGATGCACATGGAAGCATTTCTGGTTGCCATGACGACTACTGCTGGCCTTTCGAGCATAGGAATGAGGGCTGCGGAACAGCCTGCAACACATGGGACAGTCGCACACAACCAACACTATCTCTCAAAACACCAACGGCGTCCATGTGGAGAACTACTGGACCAAGCTTCCTTCCACGCTGGAAATGGGGACATTAATAAAAAGTCTCACATTCACAATATGGGACCAGCATTACCTAAGAGATCTCAGAATCACTGCACAAATTTGATAATTATATAACTGTATATCTTGAAACAAAATCTCAAAAGTTTCTGTACTGTTTCAACATCTCCCAGAACACAGGTAGGCTGAGAAAGTCTTTACCTCACAATTTATATGACTGGCTTCCACACAGAAAGGTAAGGAGCTCTGGCAGCATAGTGCCTAAGGCATCTGACTGCTAACCAGAAGGCTGGCGGCTCAAACCCATCAGCCACTCCTCGGAAGGAAGATGGGGCAACCTACTTCCGTAGTGATACTGCCTCGGCAACCCAAGAAGGGGTCACTATGAGTCAGGTCCGACTTGACAACACATAACAACAACAACAACATGTACTTAAAACATCTTTAGAGGGCAATTTCAGGTCACTGTGGAGCTGGCTGAATGGCTGGACGTGCAGATGTGGGTTTATACTGGAGAGAAGCAAGAGACCTTTAAATAGGGGCCTAACATTATTGTCACTGAACCATACGTGGCAATGGCAAATGTTCTGTCACATATATATTCACCACAGTGAATAACAAAACAGGATGGGCTGAAAAGGACTGGGGGTGTGGGGGAGGCGGACAGGAGTCAGGTGGAGGTGTGGCAGGAAGTGGGTGGGGCCAGTCAGGGAGGAAATCCCAGATTACTGGAGATGGATATGGAGGATCTAGAATCAGGTTTCTGGCCAATTTAACAGACCAAACTCACTGCCACTGAGTTGACTCTGACTCTGACTTTGGGTTTCCAAGGCTTTTTACAAGATTTACAAGATTTTTACAGAGGTAGATTGCCCAGTCTTCCTTACGCAGAGTGGATGGCAGGTTTGAAGTGCCAACCTTCTGGTCAGCAGTCAAATGCCTTAGGCACCACACCACCAGAGCTCCTTAGATCAGCAGCTACCACCGGGGAACTGTTACAACGACCAATGGCCTGAAAACCCCAGAAGAAAAGCGCCTATTAGACTCCGGCTGTGCACATTCATTCACAGGGCTCACTGATGGCCTGTGAGCCAGGCCATGCTGATGATGGCTACAACACGTTCTGTCAGTGCGTTTTGCTCTTTGAACTGCTTGTAAAACCACTGACAATATACTTACTTTCATTTCTGTTAATGCAACTGAAAAGAGCATTCTGTAAATTAAAGAAAAACAAACAGAAATTAACTAGTAAGAATTTGTAATTTTAACCCACTTTACAGTTATATGGAATCATACTATTTCTTTTATAGATCAAAGACTGAAAACAAAGACTCTGAAATGACGTCCTGGTGAAGGAAGGCCATCCTCTATTACTGTATTAGGAGTCAGGATTATCACCCACAGCATAGACCGACCACATTATTAAAGCGAACTAAGTTTATATAAATAAAGTACCAATGAGTGTGTGTGTTGGAGGGAGGGGAAGGGGACCACAATCTACCAATCTCAGTTATTTCTTGTATGATATTAAAATCTTCTAGAAAATAATTGAATAAAGGCTATTTAGGGAAATATACCTTTCACACAACCACTGCACTTTTCAGTTGAAAAAACCTTAGAGATAATCTAAGATCATTTCAAAGATGGCCATGCACTAGGATCACCTGAGCTTACCCTAGACTACAAAATCAGAACTTGGGGGTGGACACAAAAATGTGAATTCTAAATAAGGCTTCAAAGATGGTTCTGATGTAGCCAGCCTAGGACCACAGTGTGGGAATCTCCCCACCACTTTATACGTGAAAAAAACCTGCCCAGGTCACACAGCAGGTCAAGGGCAGAGCCTGTAACTAGAATCTGTTTCGAGAGCTGTTAGGACACTGGTCTGAAAACACCATACTATATGAAAGTCAATGAAAGGAAAATGCAGGAAAACAAGAAGCAAAACAAGACAGAAACAAAAAGTCCCTTCTACAAAGCCATTCAGATAGCAAGGCTGACCACTACGATTAATTACCACTCCCGACGTCAATGAATTCCTAAAAGAAAGAAGATGGCCATAAATCAAAGGTAGACGGAAATCAAGCACACCCTTATTGTTTGACAGAGACGGTCCTGGCTTCACCAGTAGCCACCTCGTAAGCAGCCCTGTGATCCAGCCTTGTTAAAGGATCACCAGCCTTACCACACAGCCACGGCCTGGCTTCTAAGAGCCATCATGGAGCTGTCTGAAGCTGTGTTGCTTTTGTTCTCCCCACCAAGCAGTAAATCGAGCCACCTGTCAGCTCTCCATTAAAGGAAAAGGAAATGAGGCAAAACAAAAACATTGGGGCTCTACAGATAAGGACTGACAAACTGAATCTGTGTGAATTCTTTCTGCTAGACACCTCACCGCGCAACAGAAGAGCAGCCAAACAGTGAACGTTCTCAGTGTTCTTTAACAACGAGCTTGCCACTACTCTTTACACTTCTCCTGCGTTTCCTTGTGTAGTGTGACTTCTCCCCTCTCATTAGAGATGGCTCTCTGCTGGGGTCCACGGACCTCTGGGCACTTTCTGAAAAATGATCTAAATCAAGGTTAAGGATCCACCTGCCACCAACTTCCCAGCTCCCCTTGAGCAGGTGGGACGATTCTCATGGCCCTTCTCTCTGATAAGCTGGTCGCTCCTCTTGCTTTTGTCCTCTTTGACCCTTTACCTGAAGAAATGTGTTTGTTATTCTGTTGGCTGTCCCAGGTTACGTTTCTGTATTTGGTGCTCATTGAGTTACTAAATACTGTCTAAAGCAGTGGTTCCATAGGGGCAATTTTGTCTCTGAGGGGATCTGGCAAGGTCTGGAGATGTTTTGGGTTGTCACAACTGAGGGGGAGGAGAGAGAGGTTACTACTGGCCATTAGTGGCCAGAGGCCAGGAACGCTGCTAATCACCTCACGACGCCCACACCAGGCCCCCACAACACAGGATTATTTGGCCCCAAATGTCAACGCTGCTGAGGTTGAGAAACTCTGTTCTGGAGACTTATTGTGTTCAAGCTGGATTTTCACATTTGACCTCACAAATGAACAGAAATGATACTCTGGGGTTAGTCTTGTGGACTTAGCTTCTGGAAGTTACTAAGCACACAAAAACTGAGAAACACCAGAGACCATTTAATGCAATTTCTGCAGCCTGAAACTGATCAAACATGCAGACAAGATGCATTGATAATTACTGGTGATTAGGATGCAAAAGTCGGAAACAAAGTAGAATTGGTAGTTGGAAAATGTGGCCTTGGTGACAGAAACAATGCTGAAGACAGCATGATAGAATTTTGCCAAGACCTTTTTTCAATGACATAAACAGGGACGATACACGTGGACCTCACCAGATGTAACATATAAGAATCAAATTGACTACATTTGTGGAACACACAATGGAGAAGTTCAATATCATCAGTTAGAACAAGGGCAGAGATTAAGTATGAAACAGACCATCAATTGCTCATATGCAAGTTCAAGGTGAAGCTGAAGAGAATTAAAACAAGCCCATAAGAGCCAAAGTAAAAAAGGAAAACAAAACAATTGACCCTGAGTATATCCCACCTGAATTTAGAGACCAACTCAAGAATCGATTTGATGCACTGAACACTAATGACCGAAGACTAGATGAGTTGTGAGATGGCATCAAGGACATCACACATGAGGAAAGCAAAGGTCATAAAAAAGACAAAAAAGAAACATAAGACCAATACAGATGTCAGAAGACACTTGCTCTTGAATGGAGAGTAGCTAAAGCCAATGGAATAAATTATGAAGTAAAAGAGCTGAACAGAAGATTTTGAAGGGTGGCTTAAGAATACAAGTATTAGAATGAAATGTGCAAAGATCTGGAGTTAGAAAACCCAAAGGGAAAAATATGCTTAGCATTTCTCAAGCTGAAAGAACTGAAGAAAAAATTCAAGCCTCGAGTTGCAATATTGAAGGATTCTATGGGTATAATATCAAGGTTTACAGGAAGCATCAAAAGAAGATGGAAGGAATGCAGAGTCACTGTACCCAAAAGAACTGGTCAACATTCAATCATTTCAGGAGGCAGCATACGATCAAGAACTGATGATACTGAAGGAAGAAGTTCAAGCTATACTTAAGGCATTGGTGAAAATGGAAAGAATAGCCATTGAGATGTTTCAACAAATGGATGCAATGCTGGAAGCCAAGAAATTTGGAAGACAGCTACTTGACCAACCAACTAGAAGAGATCTATATTTGTGTTTATTCCAAAGAAAGGTGATCCAACAGAATACAGAAATTGCTGAGCAATCTTCTTAATATCACACACAAGTCAAATTTTGCTAAAGATAATTCAAAAATATTGAAGCAGTACATTGACAGGGAACTGTCAAAAATTCAAACTGGATTCACAAAAGGACGTGAAACAAGAGATACATTGTTGATGTCAGATGGATCATGGCTGAAAGAAGAAAATACCAGAAAGATGTTTACTTGTGTTTTATTCACTATGCAAAGGTATTCAATTGTGTAGATCTGACAAATTACAGATAACGCTGCTTAGAAGGGCAAGTCCACAACACTGAACTGTGCTCATGCAGAACACATACACAGACCAAAAGGCAGTTATTTCAACAGCACAAGGGGACACTGCACGGTTTAGAATCAGGAAGGGCATCCGCCAGGGTGGTATCACTTCACCACGCTTATTCAATCAGTCTGCTGAGCAAATAATCCAAGAAGCTTGACTACATGAAGCAGCAGCATCAGGACTGGAGGAAGACTCATCAACAATGTCCAGACGCCACAGCCCTGCTTGCTGAAAGGGAAGGAGACTTGAAGCGTTTACTGATGAAGATCAAAGACTACAGACTTCTGTGTGGATTACACCTCAACACAAAGAAAACAAAAATCCTCGCAACTGGACCAAGAAGCAACATCATGATCAATGGAGTAGAGACTGAAGGTGTCAAGGATTTAACTTCCCTTGAATCCATAATCAATACCTATGGAAGCAGCAGTCAAGAGATCAACTACATTTTGCATTGTGCAAATCTGCTGCAGATCTCTTTCAAGCATTAAAAAGCAAAGATGTCACTCTGAGGACTAAGGGGAGCCTGTCCCCAGCCATGGTATTTTCAATCTCCTCATACACATGTGAAAGCTGGATAATACATAAGGAAGACTGAAAAAGAACTGATGTCTTGGAATTATAGTGTTGGCAAGTAATATTGAATATACTATGGACTGCCAAAACTTTAGGAATATTCCTTAAACATTGCCCAATAGAGTGCCAGAAGATGAGCCCCTCAGGTTGGAAGGCACTCAGAATACAACTGGGGAAGAGCTGCCTCCTCAGAGTAGGGTTGACCTTTAATGACATGGATGGAGTAAAGCTCTCGGGACCTCCCATTGGTTGATGAAGCAAGACTCAAAATAGGAAGAAACAGCTGCAAACATTCATTAATAATCAGAACGTGGAATGTACAAAGTATGAATCTAGGAAAATTGGAAGTTGTCAAAAATGAAATGGAATGCATAAAGATTGATATCCTAGGCATTAGTGAGCTGAAACAGAGTGGTTTGGTTTGGGCCACCGTGAATCAAACAACCATATGATCTACTACACTGGGAATGACATATTGAAGAGGAATGGGGTGGTGGCATTTGCGAAAAGGGCACGGAGACAGCATCTTCTGACCTCCTCCAACCTCAAGAGGGGGAACATAATCACCATCAACAGCCCAAGGCTTAATCCTATGAGGCCAGACATGCCACCACACTCCAGCCTTTTTACCAATTCTGATACCAACCGTCCCTCCCAGGCCCTCAGTACTGCTGGGTTCGACAATTCATTGCAATGGCCACCTAGAACTCACTGACAATACTCATGATTATGGGTTTATTAGGGAAATAACAGGTTACAATTCAAGTTCAGGAACACGCTCAGGATACAGTTCTTCGATCAGGACAGCCTCCCCTCTGCTATGCCCTCACGCATGCCTCTCTGGTCCTTGGCCTCTCAGCCTGGGCTCTGCCCTGCTCGGGCAAGTGTGACAAAGCGATTTTAGCTCTGCTGATCTAGGTGCACCTAGGTGCTGACCTAGGTGCGCCCCGCTCTGTCAGCAATGCTCCTGCCCAAAGGCACTCAGTTTGCTCACTCGGGGGGCCAGGGAAGCCTGCTGCTCTGTCTCATGCCTCTTAGTTCCACTACCACCATCTCCCTG